GTATAACATTGGCCTTCAGTTGGAAATTAGGCTGCCTAAACGAAAGGTAGACGATGTTGGATTGACTTTGAATGATCTGTGATGTCATGAAGTCCCCAACATGTATATTTTTCTCATCAACAGCTTTCTCTTTATTAACGTGAACTATTGATTGTTTTGCTAGTTAGCAATTTGTACTTGCTATTTTTGGTCTTTTTGTTGTGCCGCTCTAGCTTCCCTTTATCTACAATGAAAAGTGTATTCGATTTCTGGATCAGCTGGAATCAATTCATCGTCAAGCGACTTTCGCATACAAGATCTAAAAGAACAGTAGCACTCAGACAGCTAAAATGAAATGAAATTTTAAAAAAAAATATATGTTCGAATTAGTGTCGAGGTAAATAAAATCAAACTAAACTCAATCCCAACGGCGGTCCCAAAAACTCGTTCACGAAAATATATTTTGAATCAAAATCACCACAAGTGTAAATAGATTGATTAGTTTAATTTTAATTATCATGACTTTAACCGAAACAAGAATAATGTGATGTGTTTATAACTGAATTATATCTAAATTAACCTACTTTTGCAATCACGAGTGAATTAACTAAATTAAATGCAAATTATGATGCACGCAAATTAATGTGTTTTAATGAATGACAAATATTCTACTTTTATATATGATTCAACTATATTTCTATGATGGATGCGAATATACAAAAGTGTATGAATTTTCATGAACACTTAAAGATTCACATAAGACATAGCGATATATTTATATCCCCTATCGGACCCTATGATAATTTATGTACGTCGAACATATTTTCTTTTTTTCTAATACATAAAATAAGTCACCACATTCACACAACTATCGTGAACAATAATTGTGAAAAAAATAAAATCATATGAATCATTCACTATTCAAAAACGTAATATTAAACATATAAAACTAAAGATTAAAAACTCATATCACATGATTCATCGTTCTCCTAGACCCTAGTACATAGAAAACTAGTCTAACATGTTATGAGAAAGAAAACAAAAGGAATATTGAAGAATCGACATCACCTAAATAATTCTTGAATTGATTCTCGTATTCTTGAATTCGATCTTCGTGTTCTTGGCTTTTTCTATGCTCCAAAAACTCTTCACAATATGTTGTAATGAGTGGTGGTTGCTTCTAGACGGCCATAGGTCTTTAAAAGACATCCCAAAATTTGTTTCCATAAAAGTTGAAATAAATAATCAAAATTTTTTCTCCAATTTAGCCTAGGCAGGCACCCATAGAAAATGGGTTGGCCGCCTAGGCCTAGAAAATAGCCCACGTTATTTGAGTTTAGGGTCGGGTGGCTTCCCGTTATAAAAATTCGCAAATTTTTTTCCAGCCATTTTCTTCATTATCTCTTCCATCTTGATTCTCCACATCATATTACTTTAATTTTAGTGCTTCAACTTTTATTCAAATGCATATTAATCCCCAAACTTCCATCAATTTGCCAATTGATCCTTCTTTCTTTTCCAATGGCTTAGAAATCGGTTCAAAATTGAAATAAGATAAAATTAACCTAAGTTAAATAAAATCAAATACTAAAACGACACAAAAGCTTAGTAATATGGCTCCAAAATAAGTGTACAAAAATGCACTTATCACGGGTAGATTCTTTTTTGTTCTGTGTGGGGTATGAAACGCAGGAACCAAAATGAATGAAATGAAGATGTAAACCATGTTGAGATGAAAGAATTATAATTTGGGGTTACTGATTTTGGTTCCCAACAGCAGTTTCATTAGGTTTCTTCGAAGGGCGGATGTGGGGAGTAGAGCCCAGTGTAACCTCGGCCCAGAAAGGAATTTTGTTTGTAAGTTTTTTGAAAAAAGAATTATAGCTTGATCCAAATTTAAAGTTAGCCCACCAGCTATCATATTCAATATATACCCACTTTAGCCCAGCTTGAATGGATCAAGTTTAAATTTAATATTTGTAATTAGCTCACATACCAATTTATCTCCTTTGAATTGAACATGTTCCTTCCCAATTCTCAAACCCACCTAATTAAAAACCCTTACCTATGCCTACAAGTAACAGTTTCCCGTTCCATTATTTCTGGAAGCATCGAAGGACTCGAGCTCCTCTTTGGCTCTTTAGTCTTTATTATTTCCGGCATTGCGAAATTTTTTCGAGAAATTTGGAGTCTCTGCAGTGCTTTTCGGATTCTGCTTTTCTATTACGATTTTTCGATCTCGCTTTGGAAAGGTAATGAAATGAATGGAATTTGATTCGTTTTATTGAATTAAAAAATGCCCTACATGATTTTTGATTTAATTAGGGAAGATTTAAATTTAGATTTGGTTTTTAACTATTGTTTCGTGGGTGAAGTTATATTTAACTGGACATAAAAGAATAATAATTTTTTTTTTTTTATGTTTACCAGTTTATGCATGTTTAGTGTATAATTTTGACATCAATGACATGTCTGCGAGTTTTTATGGATGATGCAGGCATGAAATAAATGCATGTTGCAGTTTAAAGGAGAGGAGTTTATATTATATGAAGTATTTGAATTGCTTTTTTGTCTATTGCAGATAAAACAACGTTTTTTTTTTTTTAAATAAAGTTATGGCCTTTTTGTTCTATGATATAATTATGGCCCGTTCGGGAGGGATTAAAATCGGATTAAAATTGAAAATATAGTCGTTATTGTTGACTTTTATTAGAAGAGTGGAATCCAATAACGACCATATTTTCAATTTTAATCCGATTTTAATCCCTCCCATACAAGGTCTATATAAAGTTAAAAGTTCAATTATTTTTGCCAAAGGCTTAAAAGTTAAAGCTATAATTTAATCTTAATGCTGTGACTGCTAAATTAAAATTGCTAATTGCGTGAGTCTAATTTCATGGTATTTAGTTTAATTTTTAATTTTTGTATGGTGTACCAGGAAAATTATGTGAAATTGCAAAAATACAATTCCACGTTTAGAATAATAGTCTTGTGAATATTATTTTAAGTTTTTTATATTTTTTAATCTAATTGAATATGACTTCATCCATCAATTATTTCAGTGGACCAACTTCACTACAGTTAAACATGGAACATCGTCAATCTGGTGCCAAGAAAAGGAAAACATTGTTCTCCTTTTGTAAAAAGGTAGATGAATCTACCACAAGTACGCATTCTGTTAAAATTGAAGAGGATATCGTAGTTCATTGAAAAAAAAATTCGAGTGGTATAGAGCATCTTTTATGGTATGAATTCATCAAAAAAAAAAAAAAATTTTAATTTCAGTCCACTCTAACGTGTCTTTCTGGCTGCGCCCCAGTTCTTCCTATTAAGGACATGTTTGGTGCAGATTTTCTACAGTAAATCAATTCTCATTTTCAACCACACATTCTTCAATAAAATAATATTTTCCATCACATCAATACATTTTTCTTATTTTTCAACCACACATTTCCCATCATATCACTATTCAAAAATCAATTTTGTCCCTAAAAATCCCTACCAAACACACACTATAATGGATTGCTGATGTGGACTCGTTCAAAATTAAAAAGAAAAAAAAAAGAAATTGAGAAACTATTGAATTGGTGTAAACTATACACTTGATTTATGGTTTTTTTTTTCCCCAATTAAAAACCCTTATCTACGCCTACAAGTAAAGCTAAAAGTTCAATTAGTTTGCCAAATGCTTAAAAGTTAAAGCTGCAATTTAATCTTAATGTTTTGACTGCTAAATTAAAATTGCTAATTGCGTTAATTTAATTTCATGGTATTGAGTTTAATTTTTAATTTTTGTATGATGTACAAGGAAAATTATGTGAAATTGCAAAAATACAATTCCACGTTTAGAATAATAGTCTTGTGAATATTATTTTAAGTTTTTTATATTTTTTAATCTAATTGAATATGACTTCATCCATCAATTATTTCAGTGGACCAACTTCACTACAGTTAAACATGGAACATCGTCAATCTGGTGCCAAGAAAAGGAAAACATTGTTCTCCTTCTGTAAAAAGGTAGATGAATCTACCACAAGTACGCATTCTGTTAAAATTGAAGAGGATATCTTAGTTCATTGAAAAAAAATTTCGAGTGGTATAGAGCATCTTTTATGGTTTGAATTCATCAAAAAAAAAAAAAAAAATTTAAATTTCAGTCCACTCTAACGTGTCTTTCTGGCTGCGCCCCTGTTCTTCCTATTAAAATTACAAGGTTGGGTTTTTACTTGTAGTTTAAGCTCAAACAACCTATAACTCTTGCAAAATTCAAGTTTTTTTTTTTTTGCAAATACACAGAACGATAATAATATATATTTAGTACGTCATTTTAAATATCTTTAAACGATACAATATTTAGCTCAAGAAAACTCAACTATAGACCTTTGAATTATCTATTAATCATTCACTTTATATCCCAAAAGATATTGATGTTAAATTATGATGTAATGTTAGACTCAAAATTACCTATACAGTATAGCAGCCGCCAGAACAATATGAACGTTCGAGGAAAGTGATAATATATAAGAAAGTAGATTAATGGTCAAACACAAGTCGGCTGTATCATCTTTATCTGCAAAATTAATTAAAATAAAGAAAAGAAATCCAAAAAGTCAAATTCACCTCACTTAGACCTTTAAATAATCGATTTTGTTATCGGTACATCAAGGTGTACATAGACGTGTACATCACACTCACATGGGAGATGAGACCCGCTTGAATAAAAAATTATT